GGTATAATCAACTGAGGCGAATCATGTGCGCCACCCTGTATGACAAAATTTGTATGGGGTTTCCTATGTTTCCAACGACGATGCATCACCAGGAGGTATGTAGAAGTTCAAGGAAGAGTTGAGAAAATATGAAGAATAGTAAAAAAAATAGAAAATAAATTTGATGTTTAACAACTGTAATGATGTTATGTACAAGATCCATACCAAAATTATATTTTTTCTTATGGAACACCCGATATTTTATTTCATTTTTTGATTCTTGAGCCCAATAAAAGACATTTGATATAAGGGTTAAATATGTTTAAAACTTTGGTTTTGAGATATTTAAAAGGAGATATTTATAAACTACTCAAAAGAATTATCGCATATTTTCTAAAAAAGATATTAAGATTTACGATTTTAAATAGTATGGATACTGTGAAGGGAAATTCGATACAATAAGCCTAAGCGCTAACCTGTAATTTTTACTCGGCCGACTATTTAGTTGCAAAACTGAAAACAATACATACTTATGAAGTCGATCGACCATATATTGGTTACTAAATATGCAACTAAATAGTCGGCCGATTAAAAATTGCCTGTCAGCGATAGCCTAAGACTACGCAATGTAATCAAATATTGGTCCGACCGGCTCCATAAGAATGTATTGTTGACACTTTTGCAACTAAATAGTCGGCCGACTAAAAATTACATGTCAGTGCGTTACTAAGGCAGAAAAATGAATGCTTCATTTAGAAATAATATGTAATAATTACTTTTATTCAAATATGCGATCATTGTTTTGAGTAGTGTATTTTATTGGGAGGAGTAAGTAGGTAAATAAAAATTTCGTATTTTTTTTTACTTATTATCTATGAAAAATTAGATTTAAATAAAAAAGGTGAAAAAAGCGTTCTGGATTTTGGTCTTGGTCTTGGTTTTTGCTCTTTGTGCAAATACTTTTGAAAACTCACTACACTCAGAACTTGTTAACTTGTTGAAAATTTTCAACATTTTGTTTTGCAAAATTCATATACCTGAATTTTAGTCGAGTTCTTACTCAATGAGTAAGAATACTAAGTTTAATAATCTCATTTCTCATATCGAAAAACATAATGCCTATAAATTTTGGTTATATATTATAGTATAGACATAGTATAGACTCACATTATATTATAAAAGAGCCTCTCATCTATACTACGTAATATATAAAATCCTTAAGTGACTGACATACTGATTAATCACGATCCTGCTCAAACCACTTAACGTAAGAAACTCAATTTTGGCATACTGGTTGATTTTAGGATGTAAAGGTTCGATAAAAAGGGATTTTTCGAAATTCCAGTTCCAAGAGGGTGAAACCACCCCTCAAATATTACAATATTTTTTATTTAAAAAACGGTCAAGTTTCCGAAAAAAAACGCTTAAACATGGATATTTTATTTTGTTTTTTTACATATTTTAAGATTTTTTAAAAATGTATACAGGGTGTTTCGAAAAATCTGGTCATTGATTAATCACGATCCTGCTTAAAGCCCTTGACGTAAAAAGCTGATTTTTGGAAAACAGATTGACTTTAGGGTGTAGAGGTTCGATAAGAAGGGATTTTTCGAAACTCGAATTCTAAGGGGGTGAAACTATCTCCCAAATATTAAAATATTTTTTATTTAAAAACCGGTGAGTTTTTCGGAAAAACTCTTAAACACGTATATTTTATTTTGTTGTTTTACATATTTTAAGATTTTTTATAAATTTATACAGGGTGTTTCATAAGATATGACCATTGAGTAATTACGATTCTGCTTAAACTGCTTGACGTTTAAAGCTGATTTTTGGTAAACGGATTGACTGTGGGGTGTAGAGGTTCGATAAGGAGGGGTTTCTCGAATCTCAAATTTCAAGAGGGTGAAAACGCCCCTCAAATATTACAATATTTGTTATTTAAAAAACGGTTAGTCTTTCGGGAAAACGCTTGGACAAGCATAATTTATTTGGTTTTTTTACATATTTTGAATTTTTTTAAAAAATCATACAGGGTGTTCCGAAAAGTTGGGTAATTTCTTAACCACGATTCTGCTTAAACTGCTTGACGTAAAAAGCTTATTTTTAGCAAACGGATTTTTCGAAAGTCAAATTCCAACGAGATGAAACTACCCCTCAAATATTAGTATCGCAATATTGTTTTTTCTCATGCTGACATAAGTGTGAGGAAATTTTATCCAGTTTGTATGTTAATGGAAATTCTTGCTTTGCTTTATCATCACCATTACAAATGATTAATTCGACGCGAATGAAGTCGCTGGTACACGCTAGTATTTATAGATAATCAAAAGCTTTGTAATAATAGATACAAAAGAAATCATTATAAACAGGAAAATTGCATCTCAACCTTATATGACAATATTCCAAATTACTTTTTATGTCAATACGTGATATCAAGTTTATATATTAGGAAATTACTAATTAGAAAATGCCAACGAATTCAAATTATTTTTTATGGAATAGGTCAATAAGACTTTAAACTAAAAAAATAATAAAATTGCACTAAAATGTTTGTATAATGATATTTTCATTAAACTCTAAATTGATGTTAATAACAGACACATGGGCCTATTAGATTTATTTATTTATTTCAAAATTTTAGCTTAGTAATTAGTTTTTTGAAATTGAATAAAAAACATATTATTATATATTCAAAACCGTTGACAGTAATAAATGCTTAAATAATAATCAATACTTTTTAGAACAATTTTATCTAGAAAAATACTAATTACGAGGTCTTCCATTATTTTTCCTATAAATTTTTCTCAGTCCAAAATTCACCACTTAATTTGAAGGAGAGATATTTTATAAAGGTTGATGGCTGTTAAGTTCATTATAGAGTGCGTGTTTTTTAGGAATTAGAATTAATAAATTATACAGGTTGTTTCAAGAAACATGTGCCATTTCTCGTGGGGAGATTGTTTGCTCACGTAAAAATAAGATTTATTAATTTTTTATATAAATATAGGATCGATTCTGCTTTATTTGGTAGCTACAGAGGGTTGTTGTAGTAGCTTTTAGTGATTCGACTGAAATTTTGAGGGTAAAAGTTACTACAAGTGCGACATATTTTAATGTTAAAAATTACTCTAAAACTTATGTACACACTAATATGCAGAATATTGGTAACGTAGGAGGTTGCAACACTGCAAGGCGATACACCGACATGAAATTTCAGAATGAATCTGGAACACTAAAAAGACATACAAATTTTCCGGAAAACGTCAAGAAAAAATGTAACATTTTTAACAATTTTACACAAATAATTATGGGGGTGTTCCTATGGTAGAAATATTCTACAAGTTAAAATACTTGTACTTATTTATGAAATACCCTGTATATTATTTTATATACAGGGTGTCCCAATATTTCGTAGACATAGATCTACTGCCACAAATTATCTGTGATATGACATAAATAAGGATTGATTGACGTATTTAATTCTTTTCGGCCACCCCCGGTTTTACCGGAAATGACTACAACTTCTGATTTTTAAATTGCACCCTCGTTATTTTTTTACTTTATTCGATAGAAAATGACCCTCTGAATAGAATGACATATCATATGTCAACTTTTGACATTTTCGCTTAAAACGAAATTGAATTTTAAATTTCAATCTAGAATGGCTGTGTTTAAGATACTAATTTTTAATCAAGGAGCCTTGGAAAAATAGATTAGATCGTCTAACGTTTTTAGTGTCTTGTCCTGGCCGGCTAAAATATGCCCAAATCGTATTTTTAATCATATCTCAATTTTTTCAAATGGAACGAGGGTGGCTCATTAGCATATTTTGAAAATGCATTTTTTACGAATAATTTGGTACCACACACTTGGTATTTCCAGTCAAATTGTCGTTATGAACCGCATGTTGCAATTTCAAATAAACCATATTCGAAAATGTCAAAAGTTGACATATTATATGTCATTCTATTCAGAGTGTCATTTTCTATCAAATAAAGTGACAAAATAACAAGGGTGTCATTTAAAAATCAAAAGTTGCAGTCATTTCCGGTGTCTCTTGGTAAAAGTCACTATGAGCAACAGTTTTCAAGATATTTGGAATGGAAATAGTCAATACATGTCATTATTGGCAAAAATTATGCATGTCTAAAATAATAAATTTGAAATGTTTTTGTGTCAAAGATTCAACAGAAGCTGTTTTATCATATTGTTTACTAGAAAAATTCATGATTATCTTAAAAAATTAAAAAGTTCCCAAATTTATTCTTTCAGTCAGATAACTATTTAATGATCATTGTCTATTTCTTGTCGATAATGACATGTATTGATTATTTCTATTCTAATATCTTGAAAACGGTTGCTCGTAGCGATTTTTACCAAGAGACATTTTTTATTTAGAAAATTACGGAAATAGATATTTATTCCTTCAGTAGAGTAATACAGGGACGGATGAAAAAGACGTAAGTGGCGCCCCCTACAAGTAGGAGTCATATTGATATCGAAATCAAGTTTTTCATGTTAAAAAATCTCCAGATACCAATTTTCTCCTAAATACTGGATTTAGTTCAGAAATTATTAGGAAAAATTCGAAATAATTATCAAACCCTGTATCTCTGAAACAAAGCATTTTAGGATATAAGTTTGTACGAACTTTTTTACTTATTTTTGTGTGAAATTATGCTCCCGAAGTCTCCGGAATACAGTTCGGACCACCCTGTATAACAAAACGATATATCTTTTTGTTATCTGTTCCATTGTGATATACACAAAGTAATTGTCTAATAGTATCTATGTTTTATTCTTTATTTTATGTAGGAATCAAACTACGTAATAGCAAAGGTAATAGACAAACTAGATCATTTTCTAAAAATTTCCACCTGCAGTCCACAATTATTTTTCCGCAATCAGCCAGTCATAAACTTGACCAAGAAAAGGATAATTTCAAGGACTCAACGTGTTACAGTAGTGCGTTTTCATGCACCTTCACAATCTTATAAATAAAGGCTCCTGGTCAAACATTCTTTTTATGCATTCGTTATACATGCAGTTGCATATATGTATGTGTACCTTGATAGATTTCATTCTTAGATCGAATGCAACATCGACATGAAGTGGTTTGGGGAAATAGTTTAGCGGGAGATTTGAAAGAACCTGAAAATGGACTACACAAGTCAATTAATTTTTAATAGACTAAAAAATATTTTAAGTAAATTTGACGACATGTAGGAAAAAATACGAATTTCTTCAAAAAGTGATATAAAAATAATCCAAAATGGGAAAATCTAGTGCGGTGGTGTTTGTGACTCTCTGTGTACTAAAGTCAGTGTCCAGTGTATTTCAAAAAGATTTCGATTTGTTTCCCGAACTGCCCACTGGTGTTCCTGATACAGAAAATGAGTTGTGCAAGTTGCACAGTGATCTGTTCGTCGAAAGTTTGAAGAATTTTACTTTATGGGCCCATGAGAGTAAGTTTAATAAATAATTATTCTCTATTCTATAGAAAGCTGATATCAAAAATTATATATGAATTTTGTAAAAGATGTTGTTATGTCAAATAGAATAGCAAAATCTCTTAAAAATCGAATGAACTACTGTGAGGATCAAAAAACAAATAATCTACAATATTTTTTCGATAAAAAGTACAGGGTGTATAAATAATTGCTAAAAAGTTTGGAAGGTTGTTAGTTTTTTTAAAAAATAGGAGGTTTTCTCGTATACAAAATTTCTCAATTTAACATTTTTCTGAAAACTTATTTTCGTATACAGGGTGAATTAACATTAATATTTGGGTCTAAAAATATTCATACTAAAAAGTTGATATTTGTTGCATGTAGTGATGCCAACTCGTGTAGGGTTTTCATACGTACATGCCCGGATTTTTAAAGTGTCCGGGGCAGTCCTGCCCGGATTTGGAAAAGCGTCCGGAAAACCTGACTGCAAAACAATTTAACTTATTAAAATATTTTACAGTTATAGTTGAATTAATTTCTCTGTTACTTTGTTGGATATTTTAGTCTACAGCTCTACAGTTCTACTTAACCGACGCATGTTACCCGAAGTACCCGTTTCTATACTTTGGTGCTCAAATTTTTCGCTTTTGGCGCATTCCTGGAAAGTGAATGTTTTTTTTTTGGTTTATATTTTGTGATCCCGGGGCTCTTATTTGCGTCCTATAAAAGTTCATAAATAAATTTATAGTATTTTTTGCGACGTCCGGATTTTGCCCGGATTTCAGAGTTTACTTGTCCAGATTTTGTTATGCCGGGTCCAGACCAAGTAGACAAAACAACGACAAGACAGAAACATTCATGTTTTACGACAAAATTGCGACAATTTCAATACATTTCTGAGACATTTTTGTCTCCATTTTTGTTTTGTTTCAAAATTCGGAGACTTTTCAATGTCCCGTCTAGAGTCAGTAAAGATCAAAGTGTCTATGTTTTGTTCATATATTTTACGACAAGTTTTCGGCGCAGTGTGGATGGCGTGTGCTGCCAACAGTAGGAGGCCAGTGAAATCACACATGGTTAATAAAACTGATTTCATTCGCAACAACTAAACATGAACTAAACTTTTGACTTTATTGTACTTTTGTCCTTGCGGTGTGGACAATTTCTCCAAGCTTGTCTTGTCAGAATTTCTCATTTTTTGTCGTAAGTTTTTCTTGTTTTTGTCTCAAAATCGTGTTTACTTTTTGTCGCCTTGGTCTGGACCCGGCATTAGGATTTCTGAGTTCACTTGTCCGAAATTTCCAAAGGCCTTTATGGAAACCTTAAACTCGTGGGAAATTTCCTGATTTTTGGGAAATTTCGAGATCCAGAGATAAAAGGGAAATTTTAACACAAAACACTCGGACACAAACAGAAACGGAAATTCTCAAGTTCATTCGTAAAAAAATATTTAATCGTTCGTAAACCTCTTAAGTTCAATTTTTGACAAAAATTATATATTTATACCACAGATAACACATAATTATGTGTTATCTGTGTTTATACCCTATTTATAAATACCTCATAGTGTATTGTATTGTAAGACAAAATCTAATTATTTTAATCATTGCGCTACCTGTCGACAATTTTTTTACAATTAATAGGAATAGAGTTTAACTTGAAAAAGTTTTCCAGACGTTTTCGTAAAGCATTATATCAGCTAAATACATCTAAATCTCTCACTTGGTAAAAATAAGATTTCGTGTATCGCTTACCGCGGTTCTCATACAGGACGTACAACGCAGCACGTAGACTGCCTACACACTGCCTACATCTTCATTTTCCAACCAACGAGACGATCTATGACAGTGACAGATGCGTCTGTTATTTTAATTCAAGGGTAAATTATTGTATTTTTTGTCATTTTTTGGATGTCGTCTGTCGAAGTCGAAATCTTTCCTAGCTCGTTCAGTTCAATCGTTTAAAATATATGGGTTTTCGTTAACACGGCAGTATATGTTAAGTTCATCGAAAAATCGGCGTAAATGAACACCAACGAAAGACACCCCCCCCCCCAAATATTGTCTCTCGACGATACTGTAATTGATTTTGAATAATTTGTGGGAATTTTTAGAAAAATCGGGAAATTTTGACCGTCTTTTTTTAATATTTTTTTTAGTTACTAACAGTAAATTCAGATTCTTCTTTGTATGTACAGGGTGGGTCAAATTCGACGCTTTTAAATGGAAACACCCTTTTCTATAGCAGATAGAGAAAAACTAATATTGGTGTCTGGAGCTCAATTTCTGTCAAAAACATGATGGTGAAAACCGCATATCGATATCTATTACCGTTTCGGAGTTACGGGGTGTTTTTCAAAAATATGCATTTTTAACAAATCGCTGTAACTTTTTTGCTATAGCAAATTTTGTATTTTTATGAAAACATTTCCAAAGCATCTTTTTACGTAGAATTTAATGGTTTAAGTATAATTTTTTTAAAATTAATAATTTAAGAATTATCAACAGAAAATTTGATTTTTTATATGGGACACCCTGTATATTTTTAATTTATTGAAAATAATTTAAAATGACCTTTCAAAAAATATAACACACTTGATATTTTGCTCGATTCCTCTTCGAGATATAGAGTATATAAAAATTCGCCCGCTTTTTAACAAGTAACCTTTGAACGGCATCGGCTCGGCTGTAATGCAAAAAAATTCTAGCAGTGAGCATCAATTAAAACGAAAATAATATTTGCTATGAGAGATGCAGAATTTTATAACAATTTAAAATATATTTAACCAACATCAACACATTTAAACTATAATAACAATAAAAATAAATAGCAAACCAAGACATGAGATTTTGCTACAGGTGTTCGACATATCGACCGTCTTCTGTTATGGACAGACGGGGCAATTTTTGAACATTTCTCGCGGAATTCATTAACTCAGTAGGGGTGAAAGATACCCTCTCATAACTGCTAAGTATTTCTAATTCTTGTCTAGATTATACGGAAGAATAAGGAACCTTTATTCTTCCGCGAATATATCCATAGGATTAGATCCATGGGCACTAAGTCAGGCGGCCTCGACGGCCAACGGTTGGAATTTTGGTTAGCTATTCAATTATTTTTGAAATTTGCTGCAAAAATTTGGTGATAACTTCAGCGTTCAGAGGCGGCGCGTAGTTTTGCTGGAAAATAAGTTTTCGAGTTCCATTAAGGGCATATCATCAATAAGGGGTCCAAAGCCTACTAGTTAAAAGTGGCGAACTTTTAAAAATTCTGTACTTCGAAGGGGATTATAACAAAATATCAAGTGTGCTATATTTTTGGAAAGGTAATTTTAAATTCTTTTCAGTTAGTTAAAAATATAGAAGGTGTCCCAAATAAAAATCAATTTTTCTGTTGATAACTCTTAAATTATTAATTTTAAAAAAATTATACCTAAACCATTAAATTCCACGTAAAAAGTTGCTTTGGAAATGTTTTCATAGAAATACAAAATTTTCCATAGCAAAAAAGTTACAGTGATTTGTTAAAAATGCACATTTTTGAAAAACACCTCGTAACTCCGAAACGGTAACAGATATTGATGTGCGGTTTTCACCATCATGTTTTTGATGAAAATTGAGCCCCAGACACCGATATTAGTTTTCGTCTATCTCCAATAGAAAAGGGTATTTCCATTTAAAAGCGTCGAATTTGACCCACCCTGTACAGGGTGGATCGAATTCGACGCTCATCACTGGGATTTCGGAAACCGTAAGAGATACAGGATCGGTTAAATGGAGGCAAAGTTGCGCAATTTGATGCTCAATAAAATGCTTTATTGCATTTTTATCTTTTATTTATTTTTTTTGTATAAAATATTCTGGTGATGGAATTTTCTGTACGAAACATTGGCAAATATCAAAGTGACTATATATAGTGTTTTAAGGGTGACGAAAGGATTTAATTAAATTGAAAAAAAAAATCAGGTTCGTATTTAAAAAAATTAAGTTGATGATGGTCACCAGAAGTCGAAACGTCAGAGTCAACATTTAATCACACAGAGTTATAGAGCAGAAAAAGTGGACACGAAAATGTGGTTTTTCATTTTAAGTTATCTTAACAAATAAAGCCAGGAAACAATAGAAAATAAAATTGAAAATTTCGTTTTTTTTTCGAATATATTCGGATATATTCGGAATTTTTCAAAATGCAATACGGAATTTTGATCATCAAATTGCGCAACTTTGCCTCCATTTAACCGATCCTGTATCTCTTACGGTTTCCGAAATCCCAATGATGAGCGTCGAATTTGAGCCACCCTGGACACATCTTTTTCTATATAAAGTAGTTCATACCATACTATTATTAAAAGGATTGTTACTCACAGAATTTGAATTGACGTAATATTTTGTGTTGTTTTAAAATCTTAAAGAAGCACAAAATTTATTTAGTTCAATATTACGGCGATGACAGTTATCGAAAAATATGCCACTTTAACAACTGCACAGAATATGATGTTAATCAAAATTAATAATAACCATCATGATAACCATCTATCAAAGAATGAAATGAAATCGATATTACCATAGAAACGCCTATTGATTTTTAGGACTCTTTTGATTTTTAGGAAAAATTTCAACCAAATTTTCATGTTTATCTTAATTTTCTCTAAAACGGTACGGAAATTTGGAAAAGTATAAATGGGATTAACCATTTTTTAGAACAAGCAAGCATTTTTATGAGAATACGTATTTCTCAAAATGTCAATAATAAAAAAGTTTTTCTCTTAAGACAATCTGGGGATCATAGACTTAAAATTTTAAGTCTATGCTGGGGACATACTTTAGATATTTATTTCTATGCATAAATGAAAAAAAAACAATCAAATATATAGTGTTTCTTTTAATTATCATTAGATTCTTTGTTTAATATTATATTATTAATACTATTATAAATAATATTGATATATTAAACTGTCTGTATTAACATTTCATTAAATTTGATATTTGTTATTGCAAAATTTACGCACCAAGTAA